TTAAGTGAGCTCTGTTTCCACGACGAGGAGGAAGAGGATTTGGCGGAGCCTGCTGACTGTTGGTGCTGCTGCAGCTGAGGCTGAGGGTTCACCACGGCCACCTTAGGAGGGTGGTGGAACTCTGAGGGGTGGGGAGGAGGTGGGAAGAGCTCAGAGTCACTGGGAGGAGGAGGGAAATAGTCGGGAGATGATTCCAGGTGGTGAGGCTGTAAAGGTGGGGGTGGTGGAGGAGGTGATGGGAAGTCTGAAGTCTGGTGGTGCTGACCCGTCTGTAGACCCTGCAGCACCAAGGGCAGGTTGGCCAGGTTCAACTTTCCCGGTTTGGGGAGCGGAGGAGGAACAGTTGAATCCTTCGAAGGAGAACCAGTTGCTGAAGAGGAGCTGGAGGAGGTTCCTGTCTGAGGAGCTTGGCCAAATTTGTTCACCAGGCTCTCTACCTTCTTTGGCCTCTCCTCCTGCATCTCCCCTGAGCTGGACCTAATGGAGGAGGCTCTGTGCGGCGTTGGAGGAGGTCCCCGCTTGATGGAGCCTGTTGATGTTGCGGATGGCGACTTCTTTATAGGAGACCCCATGCTGGAAGAGGCTGCAGATGAAGGAGGAGGGGGGAAATCTCCTGAAGAGCCGCCAAGAGGAGGTGGTGGAAACTCTGGAGACTGTGGCGCTACTACTCCTCCTGGCTGCCACTTTGGTTTGGCCTTGACAGCTGGAGGAGACTGAGGAGCGTTGAATTTGGAACCCTCAATGGAGTTTGAGGAAGGAAGAGAAGGAGAAGATAATGAGGAAGCGTTTCCTGGAAACTGATTGACGATCTGTTTGACCAGAGAGGAGGTAGCAGCTGCGATGGAAACGGAGGAGGAGGTGGCGGATGGGGACAGGGCCAGGTTTTTGGAGGAAAGGCTGTGCTGCTTTGGAAGAGTTGGGGGAGGCTGATTGGGTGAATGTCCAGTGGAGAAACTTTGCTGCTTCTTAAAAGAGCCGTGACTGCTGCTGCCCCCAGGTGGAGTTGGAGACACGGGTGAGAGGGCGAGAGGGAGAGATGAAGGACCAGAAGGTTTAGGAGCAGTCTGAGGGGGGAAACCCCCAGTGAAGAATTTGGGAGGAGCAGGAGGAGGTCCACCAGGAGAGAGCGGACGGTGTGGCTGCAGGGTTGTGGCAGAGGAAAGTTCAGGAGGTGGAGGAGGAGGAGGATCATTTTCTTCATCAGAAGCTGAAGCGCTGAAGTCATACACCATGTTGGGAAACTTCTGTGCCAGGAACTGTTGGAGACCGGCGTTAGAAAGCTGGGGATACGAGTTGGGGAGAGATTCTGGAGGAGGTGGAGGCGGCAGCTCATTGGCCTCCAAGCTCTCAAGTGGAGGAGGTGGGAGGTAGGTAGACTCAGGGGCCTCCTCCTCCTCCAGTGGTGGTGGTGGAGGCAGAGCAGAAGGACTGCACGGACCAAACATCAGTGCAGCCATGGCTGAACCAGGAGCAGGCTCTGCGGGTGGAGGGGGAGGAGGAGGGGACGGAGGTTGGGGAGGGGAGGAGCTGTAAACGGCTGGGAGGGTGTTGTAGTTTGACTTGGAGGATTGGACTGGAAGAACACCTTGAGGCTGAGACCTTGTCTGGTTCTGGTTCTGCAGACGAGCCAGCGTGCTGTACTTGATGTAGGAGGAGGAAGGTGTAGGCTGATGGGCTAAACTCGCCACAGGAGGGGGAGGCGGAGGGGGAGGAGGCGACGGTGGAGACGGGGAGGAGTCCTCGGATTGGACGAGGCCGTCGGTGTAGCTGGTCCTGGAGGGCGGAGTCTGAGGCTGAGGAGAGAGGCTGGGGATCTGGATGGGGATGGGTCTACTGATAGGATCGATCTTCATCATCTGGAGGAGAGGAAGGTGGAGAGGAAGGTGGAGCACAGACAGAGAAGGATGAGAAATTACACTGAACATCTGCACTCTCTGCACACATGAAAAACACAACAGGGTTAGAGACAGAACAAAAACAAAAAACCTTTTAACCACTGGAGTTAACCGGTTCAGTCTGCTGGGATTTTAAATTCTAGATTCCAACATCAACCTACATTTGTAAGTGTAGATTTTATAAAGCAATTCTTTAACATTTTTGTAATCTGCCCTCAGTTAGTGTGGAAAACATTTTTCAGTACCACATTCTGTGTCTCTGCTAAAAAGCTACAAAAACCTTTTGTGTGACATTCAATTATTTGAACCGATACCAGACTAAAATATGTTACACTCAGTTCAAAGTGTCCTTGAATGAGAGCGGGTGTAAAATCTAACCAGTGAAGTCCAGGGAAACTGAAAATGCTATTGAGTTATTCACAATCCAAATTCAAACCACTTTATAATTGTGACTTTAAAACATCATGGTCCAACATATGCTGTTAACTAACTTATCAACAGTGTTATCATCAAAACACACATTGTCTCAGGAAGTCTCTCGTCTGTCTCAGTTTCCTTGGTTAGAACATTCCATCACAGCAAAAATGTTAGAACCACACGAGGGTTGAGCTGCAGCCTTTAAATAAACACAAAATTTACCATAAATTATTTAAATACTACAAGGTAGAGAACTGGCTAAAAGATTAAGTCAGCTACAGGTTAGCCAAACTAAAACTAAAAGCAATCCAGGAATTTAAAGTATAATTAAAAAATGCTCATTTACTTATTGTAAGATATAGCCAAAGCTCAATATTACTTAAAATTCCCATTTCTAGTTTATCCAAAACATACAAATGCATAAGACTGACATTCTAAAAGTCTAAAAGTTAGGCCAGACATTTTCAACTAAAACGCCTCAAATTAACTTTAAAGACCAGTTTAAAGAGCTGCAGTCCAACTGTAAACATGCCTGTTACATCACTTCCTGTCTAACCTCCACTCCCTCCTCCTCCTCCTCCTGCACAAAGAGGAACTGGCATACGACCTTTCACCTTTGATTGCTGACAGGAAACAGAGGAGACACATGGGGAAAAGTCCAGGACCAAGACATGGGACAAAGTGTGTGTGTTTGTCTGGCGTGTGCATGTGTTTACACACCTCTCCTTGTGTTCCTCTCCTCCAGGCGTCAGAGAAGATGGAGCTGACCACACTCTGGGAGCGGGTGTGGCCTGTGGATGTCATCTCAGAAACGCCGCTGTCTGATTGGCTGGAGTGATTGGACTGAGATTCTGAGGATGTAACGGAGACAGAGGTTCTGTTACAAATGACTGATAAAGGTAATGTTTATCAGTTATCTTCTTTTTTTCTTTCAGCTTTGTCCCTTTTTCAGGGGTTGCCACAGCAAATCATTGATTTCCATCTCACCCTGTTCTCTGTATCTTCTACTCTGACTCCAACTATCTGCATGTCCTCCCTCACTGCATCCATATATCTCCTCTTTGGCCAAACCTTCTCCAAACCTTCCTGTCTGTGTTGTCCCTCTAATGACCTCATTCCTGATCCTGTCCATTCTTGTCACTCCTAAAGAGAATCTTAGCATCTTTAACTCTGCCACCTCCAGCTCCGCCTCCTGTCTTCTGCCTATTGCTAC